TAAAAATATTATAATAAATAAAATAATCCGCTTTATACTCTTCGCGGCGTAAATACATGTCTTTATGCTGATTTTATCTCCCAGAAGCTAATATTGTGTCATACTTCGTTGTGAGATACTTTCAGCTTCTTATTTTTAAGCTACAAAAGCGCATACACAACCGGATTTTGCAATTTGGTTCTTAAAATCAATAATTATAATAAATATTAAATTAAATAAAATTATATATGCACTTCAACTGCACTATAGCGCAGATCGAGATATCAAAACGAATTTTTATTTTATCCCTTTTGCCACAAGAAACACTGTGTGAGCCTTCAGGCGACTTTCTTGAAATTTTTGTCATAATTTTTTTTATACGAATTGGAACATTTTTCAGAAATACTCAGAAATATTCGGAATATCGTAATTACATTGAGATTTTCTCGGTATTTTAGCATAATTTCAGCATAAAGAAATTTGTCTCCAACAGAGGTTCCATAGTCTCCCCTGTCGACTGGTAAAAATAACAAAAATGTTATTTAATTCTCTAGTTGGTCCGTGGGATTATACGCGAAAAAAGCAAAACGCTGTATCTGTCTCATTTTCAGTACTTTCATAAAGACTGATTTGTAACGGTTTAATTAATAAAACATAGATTTATAAAACTCCTGTATTTTTATTCCAATTTTTTTAAATCGATGTTTCAAGAACCAACCTCAGTAAAAAGTGTCTCTATTTTTACTTCAGTACTTAGGGCTCCTGAGTACTCACTCCAGCCATATTGAATCCTGACGTCATAAGCGAGAAAAGTGTCGTAAGTGACACGTTGATTTTTCTTGCATGCCAGTTGTAAATAAAGAGAATTTTGAAATAAAATGATGAGTTCGCTTTAAAATACTTAAAAAATGGACGAAAACTATCCTTATCTCCCTTGACAGTCAATAAGTAGTCATAAAAAAAAAGGCACAAGTAAAGTGCGTTTACTAGTTTTTACTCAATGCGCAGCCTATTCTCACTTCACGAGCCTTTTTCGACTCTTTACTGACAATCAGAAGAGATAAAGAGAGTTTTCTTCCATTTTTACAAGTGTTTTTAAAACGATCTTATCATTTCGTTTCATCCAAATACTCTTTATTTACAAATGATATGCAAGAAAAGTCGACGTGTCATTTCTCGCTTATAACGTCACGATTCAATATAGCTGAAGGAACTACTCAGAAGCCTTAAAGGTAACACTCAAGGGATTGAGTTACCATTGCTCTTTCGACATCTAACAGTGCAGGGCACGAATGACCCAACACTCAAAAAAGTGATCTTGCAGTTATAGCGAAAATTATCTAAAAATTTCTTTCTACGAAAAATAGCTAAAATAGATAAATTTCTAACAAGTGCTGCGATATTAAATATAATATGTACTGCATCTAATCCCTGGAAAATTTTATAACTTTCTCGCATTTTTGATACGAATTGGAACGTTTCTCAGAAAATCTACATCTTTATTCAAAATTTTTCATATATGTTAATTATAGAATATCGTAAGATTTTCAAGATTTTTCGTAAGTATAATTTTTGATGAAATGTTGCAAAATCTAAAAAATGTAAAAATATTTTTTTTAATTATGAGATGAAAAATAAATTGCAGAATACTTCAGAATTCACTTGTATGAAAAATTCTGAGAGAAGATGTAAACTTTCCGAGTATTTCTGAAAAATGTTCCAATTCGTATAAAAATTATGACAAAAATTTTCACCAGGGATCGTATAGATGATAGAGATAGAATTTAGATTTGTGCTATAAATTCTATGCGTATGGTACATAATTTTCTATCAGACACAAAAAAACAATTATAACTCTAGTTGAAGCAGAAAAATATTTTTTTGCGTAAATCGTGTGTACTAACAATAACAATTAATAATAACGTCTTAAACAC